TTTATCGTGCGAGAACGCTTTCTTCTAAACCACGCTGGGGTGATATGTGAAATTCCTATCTATATTTTCGAATTTCAAAAAAAATGAAATTCAATGAAAAATATCAAATTAAATCATCAATTTTTTATCTTATCTACGACGAACAAAACCTTCTTTAAAACACTATTATTTCTCTTTGGGTGTTATATCGGAAGAAATGAATAAGAAAAAAAGAGAGAGAGATATAACTAGAGGGAAAATCTACAAAGAGTGTGATTTTGTTTTTATCGAAGACAAAAAGAAGAAGAAGCAAATTATTTTATTAATTAACCAATAAATCAAACTAAATCTTGCTGAATGATGTTGAATATCTACATATTTATCATTATTCTTCTATTCATTCTCAACAATGAAACAACAGGTAATTACTTTTATTTGTCATATACTGAAGATCAGTTATTGCACAAAAATGACATTATTCGTTAGAGTTTTAGTTGAACAAGAGAGAGTGAAATAATAGATTATAGAATTTGATAGGAATTTTTTTTAAATATTCAAAAGTGATGGTACTGATCTTTTGCAGCGGCTATGCGAGACATTTTTGTGAGTTGAAGAATGAGTGTACTTTATGTTTAATTGTATAAGTTGGACTACTGATTGATAATAATGTAGATATCTTAGTTTATATCGATTCATAGTTTCAAAAGGATCGAAAACTTGAACACTACTAGAATCTTCTCCTGTTATCGAATTTATTTGTAGATCTTGGTACGAGAACGAGACATAAGAGAAAGGAAAGCAATCTATTTCATCATATCCTATTACAACATATGAAAAAAAAGAATAAATTGATTTTTTCAGATAAAATCAAAATCCAAAAAAAAAAAGATGAACAGATTAATGTAAATGAAAATAAAGTTTTGTGAAATTATTTGACTATTTTAATTTGAGATAAGATTTAGATTTATTTATCCTATACAGATCACTATCTCTATTATGTAAAAAATACTATGACTATGATAAAATAATGCTATTGTGTTTGATGTACTCAAAGAGTTTTATGTATAAAAATAGAAGTGAGGCATCAAGCCAGTTGATCATTCACTTCTACGCTGTAGAAATGAATACATAATCTAGAAAGAAAGAACACAGATCATATGATAATGCAGAACTGCTTTGCGAGTGCAAATTCATAATTGACACTACCATTTTTATCACTAGACTATCATAAAAGAATATTGTTAAATAAGACAAGATTTGAATCCAAGGTCAAATACATAGAAGTTTTTTTCATCTGTAAAAGGAATCGACAGTTATCGAAATTTTTCTCGATGTATTCAAGTTGAAATAATGAGAGACGAAAAGAAGAATATTTTCATTTTATTTTTATCTCAAAACATTTTTCTTAGATAATTTCCTCGAATGGCTATTTAATTACAGATTAACAAGAGAATTTTCTACTCTCTTTTCACATATTAGATTCAATTGAAATGATTTAACATAAATGAATTCACAATATTTTTCATATGAATATGAGAATTGATTTTGAACTTCAAAAGCATTTTGTTTAGATATCAGTCCATTTCAATAAACTCATTTTCGTTGAACAAATAAAAAGAATGATTTGATTATTTTTAAATAAAGTTGATCTTCTTCGATAAATTCAGCTCTCTATAATTTGATATTTACAAATCATCCGGGAAAATAGAACAACAATCATCCAAATCTTTCGAAAATAAACATAAATTAACAATTTCATTTTGTTTACATTCCTTCTCTAATATTTTTTATATTTTTCTCGTTTCAGCTCTTTCATTCAATCAACCAAAGTTTTCTCCAACACCCATTTGGAATTCCAATGGAATTACCATTGCTAATCTATCAATTGTTGGGCGATATCCTCGCGGTATTTTTGTTAACACAAACAACTCAATCTATGTCGCTAATCAACGAAATAACACAATTGTAATATGGCATGAAGAGAGTGTCAATCCAACAAAGATCATTTCTGGTAATTTTACAGAACCCTCTTCTCTCTTTGTGGCATCAAATGGTGATATTTATATTGATGATGGTAAGAAGAATGGTCGAGTGCAGAAATGGAGTGCAGAAACAAATACCTTTGATACGGTGATGAATGTCAACTCATCATGTTTGGGTTTGTTTGTCGATATCAATAATACTCTTTACTGTTCAATGTCTGTACCTCATGAAGTAGTGAAAAGATCATTAAATGATCCTGTGATGGCTTCAAATCGTATTGCTGCTGGAACAGGCAATTCAGGATCAGCCTCAAATGAACTTTATCAGCCTCATGGGATCTTTGTCGATGTGAATTTGGATTTATATGTGACAGATAGTGGAAATGATCGAGTTCAATTGTTTCGATCAGGAAAATCAAATGGCATCACAGTAGCTGGAAGTGGATCATTAAATCCAACAATTATACTTCTTTATCCATCTGGAATTATATTAGATGCTGAGAAACATTTATTCATTCTGGACAATAGCAATAGCCGCATTGTTGGTTCAAGCTTGAATGGCTTTCGATGTTTAGTTGGATGTTATGGAATAGGTTCAGAACCCAGTCAATTGAATAATCCATTTAGTTTTAGTTTTGATCGTTCTGGAAACATATTTGTTGCCGATTCATCAAATAATCGAATTCAAAAATTTTTACTGATGAAAGATTCTTTTGGTAAGTTGAAGAAAAGCTGAATAGAATGAAGAGATGTGAATAGATAAGTAACAGAAGTTAATAAAGACATTTCAATGGAAAGAAAGCAAAAATAGTTAATAAAGATTAATTCGATCAATGTGTCCAAGAAAATGAAATGTTCAGATTAAACAAAACTATGTATCAATCGTCTAAAATAAATAGTCTTTACCTTTTTGTACAGATTAAAGAATAGAGAAAGAAAAACTTCTGTCCCTGATGGAGTGATAGAAAAGGCTTTCATATTTCATTTTATGTCTCAAAGAATATTTCTTCAATAAAACACTTTTTATCGAGATAAAATCTGCTCATATCTTTGCCGATATAGTTTTAATATGAATTATTCTATGATTTGACTTCATATCTCATGTTTAAATTAATAAAAATCATTCATAAAATCAATGCTAACTAACATTCCTAAATGTCTTTTATTGTGAAAACTTTCTTTGAAGAAACATAGTTTTTTGTCTACGAATATATAAACTAACAATTTTATTTCGTTTTCAGTTCTCCTCTAATATTCTATTTTTCTCGTTTTTAGCACTTTCATTCAATCAACCAAAGTTTTGTCAAACTGCCACTTGGAATTCCAACGGAATCACTTTTGCTAATCAATCGATTGTTAGTCAAGCTCCTAGCGCCATTTTCGTGAACACAAACAACACAATTTATGTTGTTAATCGAGAAAATAACACAATTGTAATGTGGCAGGAAAAGAGTGTCAATCCAACAAAGATTATTTCTGGTAATTTTACAGAACCCTGTTCTCTCTTCGTGGCATCAAATGGTGACATTTATATTGATGATGGTAAGAAGGATGGTCGAGTGCAGAAATGGAGTGCAGAAACAAATACCTTTGATACGGTGATGAATGTCAACTCATCATGTTTGGGTTTGTTTGTCGATATCAATAATACTCTTTACTGCTCAATGTCTGATCATCATCAAGTAGTGAAAAGATCATTAAATGATCCGGTGGTGACTTCAAATCGTTTCGCTGCTGGAACTGGTATTAAAGGGTCACACTCAGATGAACTTAATGGCCCTTGTGGAATTTTTGTCGATGTAAACTTGGATTTATATGTGACAGATTGTCACAATGATCGGGTTCAGTTATTCCAGTCGGAAAAATCAAATGGTATCACAGTGGCTGGAAGTAGATCAACAATTACACTTCACTGTCCAAACGGAATTGTCTTAGATGCTGAGAAATATTTATTCATTCTGGATTTTAGGAATCATCGCATTGTTGGATCAAGCGTGAATGGTTTTCGATGTTTAGTTGGATGTTATGGAATAGGTTCACAACCCAGTCAGTTGAATAATCCATTTAGTTTTAGTTTTGATCGTTCTGAAAACATATTTGTGGCCGATTCATCAAATAATCGAATTCAAAAATTTCAATATTTGGAAGAATCATGTAGTAAGTTTAAAATGATTGAATAAAGTCTCTAATATCACTTCAGTCAATATTTATCCAGAGAATTAAAAAGAAAAAGTATCATAGAAGATCATTATACTATCGTTATAAAGTAGAAATCTTGTTTATTTATAATTTTCTACAAAAGTGAATCGATAACATGATCGTCATGTTAGTGGCATGATACAGATGGAATTTAGAATGTCTATGTATTTAGTAGAAAAATTAGAGATGAATTTAGCCCTTTTTGTTGAACTTTCTTTATAAATTTTCTTAAATTCACCATTATCTGCGCTTATTCACCGCTGCTGACTGTAGAAAATCATGAACACAATGATTTTATGAAACGTAAGACACTCATGAGAAGAAAAATTTATCGCATCGAATCCCATATCTCAGAACAAAAAAAGTTTCACAAATTGCTTTGAAATCAACAAAAAGTCGTGTTGCATAATTGTTCAATGCGTTTTAGAATTCGTAGATAGAAGACATTCGTCAGAAAGAAAGGGCCCTATGTTCAAATGTTAACCATCTGCAGTCATAGTTTTGGATGATAAGCTAGGATAGAATCAGAATTATCACAAAGGAATGAGATTCAAATGTAGGTCAGGGTGTCTTCACAGAAAAATGTCAACAACGAGAAGATGAAAAAAGTACCATTCTTACCGGATTATTCAAGACATACTTTATAAGAATGACAAAATAATTAAAGAATCGCTCTTGTAATATTTTAACAATGGATAGAATATGAGAATATTTTGATTTGTTAAGATTGAATGTTACTTCGAACCCGTATTTTCTTGATGATGTCATGCCATACTCGTAGATTGACTAGAACTTTATGAAATAGTTTTATTAGATAGTTTATTATTATGCTTAGTCATAGCGACAAAAAACTAATGTTGTGCATTACATTTATAACAGAAGAAAAGTTTGAAGATAACGATGATAATGAAGAAGTCATAAATTTGTAAGCTATAGACCTACTCGACTTTCTATAGTTCAGAATGATACTCGTTTTTGTATACGAGGTTTTATAACATTTCTTTATTGTAATTATTACAACATCTCTTGGAAGAACATACAGATTTTAAGGACGCTAAATAGATAATTTATTTCCTGATTTTTTTTCATTTGTCTATTAAAAGTATTGTTCTAAAACAAACGATTCAACTTTTATTAGTAAACAGAGTGAAAAGGAAACTAAGAATATGCGCAATCATTTCTTTTCTCTAGTGTAAATATAAATATTCATTGATTTTTTTCATTCAATAGATAGTTCATTAATTATAGAAACAATGTATTCGTCATCATTGACATCAAATAGTTCAACTTATTTCAAAGATTGTTTAGAGTTACAATCGTATTATGAAGCGATGCAAATGAGCATCACTATAACTGGCCATTACACTTTTCTAATCAACAGCGAGATAAAAAATATGTCCGCTTATATCTATACAAATAACTTCAATCCATTTAATGTGTCCAGAAATGACCCCAGCCATAGTGTGTACTCTGGTGATCAAAATCAATTGCAACTCACAGCTTTTCTTGTAGCTAACACGAAATACGTTTTCATTATGACAACATTTTCTCCAAATGTAACAGGAGATGTTTCAATTCAAGTATCTGGTCCAAATTATATCGATTTCAATCGTATTTGTGAGTATTTATAGTATTTCAATGGATAAACAATTGCACATATCCATCATCGATAGAAAATATAGATACACTCAACCTATAAAATGATATACAGATATATCTATTCGATAGAGACTAAGATTCATATCACTTTCAGTCGCTTTCAGTAAATATGTATCTGTGAGAGAAAATAATATTTCAAATTGTTTGTACTTATTTCCATATTATACAAAGTTGAATCGATTTTCTTTTTCGTTAGTGAATACTTCATCAGTTGTTCAAACAATTTATGCATCAAAATTGACCACAAACAGTTCAACGTATTTCCGTTGGTGTTCCGAGTCAAGTTCTTTCTATGAAGCGATACAAGTGAATGCTCATAGAAGTGGTCTTTATACTTTCTTAAGCAAAAGCTATGTGACCATATACGGCTCTATTTACAAAGATCATTTCAATCCATTCAATCCAAATGAAAATCTACTCTCAGACAATGATGAAAAATGCCATATGCGTGCGTTTAGATTCACAATTTATCTTGAGACTAGTACTACATATATATTGGTTGTGAGAAAGTATTCCTTCGATGATATAGATGCATTCACGATCTTTGTATCCGGTATAAATACTGTTGATCTCAAGAATATTAGTAAGTGTTTGCACTACAACTATTAAATGAATATCTATCAACGTTAGGATCAGTATTTAGTTGAGTTTGGCATATTCACAAATAAAAACTTGATTTATAAGATGACACCTGTACTGTAAGAAGAAAGCTTCGCATAAACACCTAGATAAAATCCATCAAATAACAGAATATTGTACATAGGATCAGATCAATCTCCTTGAATGCAGACCCGCTTCAATCGATCGCTAATCTGATATGAATAATATACAAATCGACATGAATCTCTGTTCATGACCATATAATGAAAAAACTTTGCTAATTGTTACAACCTACCCTATCACTCAGTGTTCCTATGATAGAGAAAATACTTCAAACATATGCATACAACTTATTATAGGTAAAAATGTAAATATGTTCTTACTTTTTATGAATCTAAAAGTCAACTTTTATGTACTTCAATTTTTGTATATAATACAACAGTAGTTGAATTAGACTATAAATAAACAACTTTTCCTATCTAAACCGTTGGAAAATTATTCATTTTCGAAATAAAGAAGTTATTCCAAACTCATTGGTGACATACGTTATTAAGGGTTCCAGTACAGAAAAATATTTATAGATTCTATTCTCACTCTCCATTTACAACTTAATTATTTCATTGAGAGTGATATTATAGAGAGTTGCTTCTTCAGAAAGCTAGACTCAGCTTCGCCATACCTCTCGATAGTCAGTCAATCAAGATCTATTACGAATCTAGACTATTATTTTTGTTTTCATCATGTAGGTTCCCCATCAGTCAGCGGAATACAATATTCATCAACTGTACAATCGAACTATTCATCACGATTGACTACAAATAGTCAAACATATTCTCGAGATTGCCGAAAATCAAACTATTACTACCAAACTATACAAGTAAATGTAATGGAAACTGGATACTACGCTTTGAGTAGTAATAGCAGTATGGATACATATGGTTATATTTACGAAGATGATTTTAATCCAATGAATCCTTTCGAGAATCAACTCTCACAGAATTATCGAAGCTGTAGTGATCAAAATTTCAAGTTCATCGCGTATCTTCACACTGGCACTAAATACATATTAGTGGTAACAACATTATCTCCAAATATAACAGGAAACTTTGTCATTCTAACATCTGATCTAAATAACATCACTCTTAATCCTTATAGTAAGTATTCTGTATCATTTGTAAATCATCAACAGAGAATTACAACATACCACTGAAGTCGATTTTCACTATTGAATAATAAAATATCTGAGAATTTCAAATAGATCGTATACTTCAATAGAATTATTGTCGAAAAATAGAAGCACAACGGAACTCCTTCTTTATATGAGTTCAATCAGTTGGGTAAATTAATTCAGCTTTTCTTCTTGCATCAACGATATATTTAAGAAGATTTATTCTTTAGTGATTTCACACTATCTGAGATTTTATTACCTTGCAGTCTGTGAAAATTTATCAAGTTCATATGCAGAAACATCTTTACACAAATGAGTAATTTCATCATGAGATACTGAATAGAAAATAGAAATATACAAATTTAATCTCGACAGGACATCATGTATAGATAAATTACTTTGATAAACTATTGCTGCTTATAAATTTGCGCCTATATGGCTTTGTTAAGTTGAGAGAGGTTAATCTAATCTCTTAATAACTATAAATTTCTTTCTCTAGCTCAAATTTTGGCCAGTTGTTTCATTGGCCAAAAATGTCAGTTCTACAAAAAAAGTATTGGTGTCACTCTTGATGATATTTTACGTGATGAAATTCGACCGAATATGACAATGACTGATCAAATAATAATGCTGAAAACCAATATCGCTTTAACGATGATTATGTTTGTTGGAGGTTTAGTCAATAGTATTTTGTCCCTACTAACATTTCAAAGTAAAGATCTTCGACAAGTTGGATGTGGTATCTATCTCTTAGCATCATCGATTACTTCTTTTCTTACAATTAGCATGTTTGTAGTGAAGTTTTGGTTTGTTGTTCTCACTCAAATAGATCTATCGATTCATGTTTCTGTTGTTCGAGGAGGTTGTGTATCGATCGAGCCTCTTCTCAAGCTTTGTCTATATGTAGACGCATGGCTCAATGCTTGTGTGGCCATTGAAAGAGCGATTCTCGTTTTCAAAGGAATTAAATTCAATAAACAGAAAAGTCAATGCATTGCTCGATGGATAATCATTATCTTACCATTTTGTGTCATGATTTCGATCATTCACGAACCTATATATCGAGAATTACATGAGATAAAGACAGAGACGAATACAGCGGAGATAGATAGATGGTGTTTAACTCGTTATTCTTCTTTTGTTCAACAATACAATACAATCATCTTATTTTTTCATCTGATCGCTCCATGTATGGTCAATCTTTGTTCCGCTTTATTCATCATATTCGGATCAGCCCGACAACGATCAACAGCTCAAACAAGACGAACTCTGAGAGAACATGTTTATAATCAATTTAATGAACACAAACAACTATTAATTAGTCCGATGATTCTTCTAATTCTGTCTTTACCCCGTCTGATAATGTCAATGCTATCTGAATGTGTCAATCCATCTAATCATCGATTGTTATTTATTTTTGGTTATTTCATTTCATTTACTCCATCGATGCTTATCTTTATTGTCTTTGTTCTTCCTTCGGAGTTGTACAGAAAAACGTTTCAAGAATCACTCAAACGATGGCGACGACTCATTCATCAATAATCAACATTTATTCATTACTTTCGAACTTTTCTAATATGTTGACAAATGAAAAATACTTGGGGTGGACATGGAAGTATGAAGACGAAATCTCACAAAGTTCAAAAGTGTTGTTTTTGAAAAAAGTTCTCATATCAAATTTTAGCTTCTTCTTTAATAAAATGTTATGTCAATGTAGTTTTCATTTCTGAAAATATCATCTATAAACCGAAAGTGATCAGACAATCTGTCGGACTAACGAAAAAATAGAATGCAAACCTGCTTGATACTTCAGAATTACTGTATGAGATAGTTTTCAGGGTGTAGGTGTGGATATGAATATAAAATAATACCCACACCCACACAAGATTTTTACAAGAAATATGGAAAAAAAGTTGATACTTACGGAAACAGTGTTCTGTTATAACAATTCTTTTTCATATTACAATCATTTTATTTAGGAACATCTCTTTACCGTATACTGATTGTAAAATGTACTTCCTATATAACTTGGAGATTTTGAATGTGCTTCCGTAATAAAAAGATCAAGACTTTTATTACTATGTTGAATAATTTATTCTCTTTTTCAGTTATTTTATATAGATATATGAATCAAGATAATAAGTAATAAATAATATAACTTCCCTAGTCGAACATCTTATAAGCAAGATCTTGGCCAAGATCTTAGGAACAGATAAGTGAACAGATCTTGAAAAAATAGGTACAGATAATTTGATTATCTTGTACACAAGATCTGTGACTAGATCTTAGGTACAGATTGTTAAGATCTTATGTACACGTTGTTAATATCTTATGTATAGCCTGTTAAGATCTTGGTAACAGATATTTGAAATCTTGAGCATAAGATCTTGTAATGAATGATATTTTCGTTTTACCTCGGCAAGATCTTCAGATCTTGTACTAATATATTTAAATTTAAGACCTACATGAACATACAATAACACACGTGAACATCAAATACAATTACAAACTTCAGATAAAAAACGTAATAAAATATAAACACCATAACAACTGTTTTTAATTCACAATCATCTGTATAAACACAAATCATTCAGAAGTACACGAAATACAAGATAAAAAATAATAAAAATAAATTTGAATCAGCTTCATCATATAATTCAGCATCAGACGATGATGATGAAAATGAAACGGCTTGAACAACAGTAACAACGGCATCGTTATCTGAAATATCGCTAGCTACTGGATCCAGTGAATTAGAGATATCCATAAGATCATCATCTTCGTCTTCGTGTTCATTATTTCGAAGCATCCTAAATACTTCACTTTCATTGCGTGCCAAGCGGTATTAACGCGTATATTATCTTGTTCGTTGAGTCGTACTTTTCGAACAAAATTTATTGTTTATATCTAAAATTAATAATATGCAGAAATAAAATTAAACTAAAACGAGTAAACAACAGTAATAACTAATTATTTTAAAACAAATGACATACATGTCTAAAAATGCGTAGTTTATTTCAACAACTCGATATACTAGCATAGATTGATAATGTACATGTTAATCGAATTGATCATTTTTTTTAGTATTAAAATTGACGCAAGTAAACTTCAGTAAATTTCTAAAAAACAAATATAATTATTCAAAAATTATTTCATATAAACTTCTAATTTAAGTCTCTTCATTCTCATCATTGTCATAAAAAAATTTCATTTTTACAATTGCAAAATATTTCGTTCGTCGAAAAAAATCATGATTAATATATTTAAGAAGAACCAATATATCATCATTAATCGATACATAATTATTTAAATAAGCTTTTTCATGCTTATATGAGATAAAGACTTGGCCGTTATAACGTTTGTTATCTTTATGTTCATTATTTGTTTTTATTGGTTCATATGTATGAGGACTGTAAAAAAGCTTTTTTTATTTTTGTTTTCTGTTCTGTTATGATTTATGAATATTTTTAATAAAATAATTCAAATATATGAATTATTTTTTTCTATTAATGATGTCGCTTTAGTTTATTCAAGATCTTGGTGCAAGATAATTACAGTTTAACTTTTTTCCACTCTTCTGACAGTTTTGATATCTTGAGTAAAGATCTTGATAAGATCTGTGGTACAAGATAATTACAATTTAACTTTTCTTCATGTCTTCTGAAAAGCTTGATATCTTGAGGAAAGATCTTAATAAGATCTGTGTTACAGATACGTAAGATATGATCAAGATATGCTTTCTCAAAAAAAAGAAATTATCTTTTTAAGATCTTGGCAAGATCTTACTTACGAATTTCAAGATTTCCAGATCTTACTTACAAGATGTTCGACTAGGGTTCAGTACAAAATTCGTTTACTAATTGAATAATATCCTTGGAACATTCGGTATATTACTTCTCAGCTATTTGAAAAAGCCTCAATAATATTTCTTTCAAAGCAAAAAAATAGTTTCTGTTCATTGAAACTTCTAAAATCAAACAATTTTCTAAGCATTAAAAAATAAACATTTCTTGAGAATCTTTTTTTCTTCAACAAGATAAAAACAGATTAAAGCCTTTCAAATTACATATTCAAGCAAATAATCATATATGCTCAAAAACAGAAAAAATTTATTCATGTAAATTATTTGATCATAACATCCACGCTATAATAGAAAATTTCTATCTCAACTAAATTCTAAACTGACATGCGACATACACAAGTCTTTTGTTCATTTTGTTTAATTACATTTTAAAATCTTTTTAATGTACATGTCTATACTAGAGATGATCGTAAAAGATTTATTAGGAGGTTCTAAGAATGATTCTGGTATATATATATTGTGTCATAATAGGACTAAATCGAGTACAAAGAGGAGAAACCGTGCCAAATCTTGTTAAAATCTTTGAATACCTTGAGAAATTACAAATAATAGTGCTGAAAATTTTTTCTTTAATCTGTCTGCGATTGACAAAAATTCAATCGATTTCGACGAAGTCCGACGGTATCAGATGTTTCCCTATGATCGGATTTTGATGATTATCACAATATCTGCCGAGTCGATGCGATAGGCATCGATCGGATATTTTTCGAGGTTATCCGGTCCGAAATCCGTTAGTTAGAAATTCGATGAAATTTCATTTGGCATCAGTAGGTTTTTATCGGGAGTTCGACATCGGATACGATAGTTTCCTGTAAGGTTTACCGGTCGGATTGAATAACTTGCGTAGATACAACATTTCTTCTATGAAAAAAGAAGGATTGTCATACTAGTAATTAAAGACTTCCCTTATCAATCGTGACAGTAGTTTCTGCTCAGATGCTTCATAAATAATAAATGAGAAGAAAAAGATTAACCTTTTTTTTCATATTAAATTTTAGATTTTCCAGTAAAAGAAGAAAAACACAAATAATAAATTATATATCACTTTGAATAACGTCTCATGTCATCGTCATCACTCTCTGATGCAATTCTCAACTTTGCGATACAATACTCGACTTATACTGGTTGTATTATAATCAGTTTTGGAGTTATTGGTAATGTGTTGAATCTTCTCGTTTTTACTCAATTGAAACTATTTCGAACTAATCGATGTGCATTCTATATAACTATTGAATCAATTTCCAACTTCATTTATCAGTTTGTCTTTATTAGTCTAACTGTTTTAACATCAATATATGGAGATGATGCAACAGGACGTTCTTCGATTTGGTGTAAACTCAGATACATATTGGGCCAAACATGTGCGCTCACTACTTTTTATATGATATGTTTTTCTGCTGTTGATCAATTCTTTTCGACAAATCATCGTTTGAATTTAAGACAAATGTGCACACTGAAATCAGGTCGATATTTTGCATTTATATTCATCTGTTTTGCAATCATTCATAGCATTGCGCTTGGCTCTTCTTTCAATATCCAGCCAACATTAGGATGTGTTCTATCGAATTATGCAGCGGTTCAGTACACAACATTTCTCCTTTATCCAATTTTAGCTGGGTTACTACCAATGGTCATTGCATCATCATTTAGTATCTTAGCTTATCGTAATGTTCGTCATATAGTTCGACGACAATTACCCATTGTTCGTCGTAAACTAGACAAACAAATAACAGCAATGGTTCTTATGCGTGTAATTGCGTTTGTTTGTTTATTATTACCTTATATTACTTATCGTATTTATACCATTAATTTTCCTACATCACGAAGTGTGCCTATGGCATATGCAATTAGCCGATTGATTCAAGCAATATTTCTTTCTATTAGCAATATAAATTTTGCCGTAAATAAATTTTCTTTGCTAATTCATATTTGTAAGATTTTGGTCTATTTTAGATCAGCTTTTACATATTCACAATATTCTCATCACGTTTTCGTCGTCAAGTAAAATTTGTTCTAATAAAAAAATGTTGGCAACGATGGAAACATTGGTGTTGTCACATAAATAATCGAATTGAACCTGACAACAATATCCAAGAACGTAATTCACAAATGGAATCTGAAGAAACTGTCTAACTATTCATCAAATAAATACATTAATTCTCATATGTCTAGTTTTTCTTGACGGTGGATATGAATACTGTATTCATCGAGCACCCACACCCTTCTTTTTATTTGAGCAACTTTTGAAATCTTTTAAATAAAACAAAATTATTTAACTTACCAATAGTTTTCTTTGATTATTATTTGTATATTGATATTGTTCAGTGCTTGATTGAATGATAGATGGAGATATATCGAAAATATTCACTATTTGTTTCGAGGTTACTGGATCAGATTGAGTGTTATTTATTTTCTATAAGAATTTCATCATAAAAATCTTTTAATCAAGATAATCATTATTTAAATATATTTCATTTTCAAATTGATAGAATTTTATCGAATTAATTGGTTTATCAGTTATATCCACTAAGAAACCTTCTCTAAAAGAAATTTACTTAAATAAATTCAAATAAAACTTACTTATCTAGATCATTAATAAATGAAATATCTTTAAATATACTTTGATCAAAGAATTCCACATGATAAAATAATAATTTCATTTGGTTATTGAATTATTTTATGATAATTTATAGTATATTGATCAAACATGAATGGATGAATAAGAATATTCTTATGTTCAATACATATCGACGATTGTTTTTCTATTAGTATGTTTTCAAAACGAAGTCTTTCTTTCCACGATATTACACACCAATATCGAATTCCACCTTAATAACAATAATTAAATTGAAAGAGATTTTCTTTATTGGAGTATAATAGAAATATAGTAGTAGGTCCTTGCATTTTTACCAATGATGATGAAAATTGATTAAGATGTTTTTTCTACATAATTTAAGAAGTGATTGACAAAGTAATTAATGAAAATCAAAATCTGTTTTATGAACACATTTTAAAAATAAACTTTCATGATCTAAAGATTGATAATAATAACCAAAACATTTGCTCATTTATTGGAATAGTCTCTTGTTTTTATTTGTTGAATTGTTAAACACGATGAAATATTTATCGAAGCTTTTCTTGGAGATATCCTTATCCTCAGTTACATTCGCATTCATTCTCGCATCTAAATATGGCACTGTGATTACTTTGAAAATTAGAGTTAAAGTTGAGGGTATGTGTATGGGTGAGAGTGCGGGATGTACGTGTTAGTGGAATGAATCATTCGACGTTCATGTACACCTTCATCTCATCAACCTTCGAAAGAAATACAAGAAAAAAAGATCATTCAATCAGATCTATGCTCCAGTTCCTATGAGACTTTTATAAAATCTTATAATTATATTTAAAGCTTTTGGTGACAATTTTTAGAAAATTCTTATTGAACAGTGAGAACAACATTAATATCTAATTTCAGTTTGATAGGTATGGTACTACTCGGCACTAAAGAATGAATTAAATTAATTTTAGAAAAATTCGTATATATATAGTTTCTATCAATAATATTAACATATATCAAAAGTTTGAAAATGCGTATGAAAATAGATGAATGACCAATTTATTTTATAGCGAAAAGATATAAAACATAAAATAATCAACATCGTCATTAATTGTAATTTTAATTAAAGAGAAAATGAATTCCCTTTCTTCACTTTTTATATTCTTATTAAATTTAATATCTTAAAAGAATACTGACAATAATGTATTGCACAAGTGAATTAGAATACGTGTTCAATAAATACACTATTACTATTATTTATGTGTAGATAGTGCAGAAAAAAAACATCATTCTTTTTTCTTTTATACAAGTTACAAATAATTCTAGTGAGAAATTCAAGTATTCTTTTATTAAATTTAAATTCTATATTCAAAGTGAATATCTCATACTGGTAATTAAAGACTTTTATTGTCAATTGTGACATTAATTTATATTAAGATGCTTGAAAAATAATAAATGACAGGAAAGGATTCATATTTTTTTATATTAAATTGTAGATCTTACAGGAAAAGAAGACAAACATAAATAATAAAGAATATATCATTTTGAATAAAGTAGCATGTCATCATCATCAGTATCTGATGGAATTCTCAGCTTTGCAACACAATACTCGATTTATACTGGTTGTATTACATTTAGTTTTGGAGTTATTGGTAATGTGTTAAATCTCCTCGTTTTTACTCAATTAAAACTATTTCGAACTAATCGATGTGCCTTCTATATAATTATTGAGTCAATTTCCAACTTAGTTTATCAGTTTTTCTTCATTAGTCTAACTATGTTAATAGCAATATATGGAGATGATGCAACAGAACGTTCTTTGATTTGGTGTAAACTAAGATATATATTAGGACAAACATGTGCGCTCACTACTTTTTATATGATATGTTTCACTACTGTTGATCAGTTCTTTTCAACAAATCATCGTTTGAATTTAAGACAAATGTGCACATTGAAATTAGGTCGATATTTTGCATTTATATTCATTTGTTTTGTGATCATTCATAGTATTGCGCTTGGCTCTTCTTTCAATATTCAGCCAACATTTGGATGTATCATATCGGATCATACATGGGTTCAGTATTCAACATATTTCTTTTATCCAATTTTAGTTGGTTTTCTTCCTATTGTAATTGCATCATCATTTAGTGTCTTAGCTTATCGTAATGTTCGACGTATAGTTCGACGACAATTACCCATTGTTCGTCGTAAACTAGACAAACAAATAACAGCAATGGTTCTTATACGTGTAATAGCCTATGTTTGTTTGGTATCACCTTATAATATCTATCGTATCTATGCCGTTAATTTTCCTACATCACGAAGTGTGCCTATGGTATATGCAGTTGGTCGATTGCTTCAAACAATTCTTCTGTCTATCAACAATATAAATTTTGTTGTAAATAGATTTTCTTTTGTAATTCATGTGTACGATTTTGGTTTATTTTAGATCAACTTTCATATATTCGTAATATTCTCATCACGTTTTCGTCGGCAAGTAAAATTTGTTCTAGTAAAAAAATGTTGGCAACGATGGAGATATTGGTGCTGTCCCATAAATAATCGAATTGAACCTGACAACAATATTGAAGCACGCAATTCACAAATGGAATCTGATGAAAATCTCTAACTGTTCATCAAATATATATGGGTGATTTGCGCTACCATTGTACCGTTTGATTAAAAAAATCGAAAAAAATAAAAGTGAACATGAAGAAAACTTGAATCACACATTCGATATAGCTATGTTAGTTATATATATTGCAGATAGTTTCCCAACTGTCAGTCCTTTTGTTTTCGAGGAAATCGATTTCTCCAAAAACATTGAATATTGTAGATTTTCTGTTAAGATATTATTCTCGGAACGCTTTTTTTTACCAATATCGAGAGGAGAAAGAACAAGATAATACATCTCCTAATCATCTAAACTATTAAAAATCTTCAATAGATATGTGAAAACAATCATTCATAACATTCTGACACTAGAAAATCTGTCGGGACATTCCTTGGAAAAAATATTCTTTTCGCATGAACGATGATTGTTTAAGAGCTGATATTTCCATGGTAGGTTTACCACTTAGTGAGGTTAAAATGATAAAAAAATGGTCGATCAATTTCCCTTATTTATCCAGAAATCAAAGAAAAAAAAATAAAAATCTGTCGGGACATTTAGTGCAACCATAGCCACTTGCTCACTTTATTTTTCGTTTTTTATTTGATTCGAAAGTTCATTAGAGAAAATTTTTTTTATAGAAATATTTCTCACTCTTTAGTCTTCATATATATACAAAAAAATCCGCAGTTTGGTTCCGATTAACTTTAGTAGGTCGAATTTAATCTGTCGGGACATAAAATAGTCAATGCGTGCGTCAAAGTAATTTTACAATATTTTAGAGACAATTCGATAATAAATTTATAATTATTCGGTGTGGTTAGATAGTACAGAGTATCAGCTGTAACATAGTTGTCAAATAGTATTTATCCAATCAAAATTTTAGAATACGTATATAATCTTTTTCATCAAATGGCGTTAGAAATCATCATTTTTGATTTTCTTGTTCCAAGCTCGGAGGGAAGGAAACGAAAGAAAGGTTTGAAATTTTTACCGTAAGTAGGACTTTAGTATGTGGTTATGTGAAAAAAAAATCACTGAAAGTTATTCAGTAGAACATGAGTTATAAGTATTTTTATCTTAGAAATGCGAACGGTACAATGGTAGCGCAAATCACCCATATATTAATACTCATATCTCTAATTTTTATAAAGGGTGGGTGTGGGTATGAATACTGTATTCATCTAGCAAAAAAGAAAAGTTCTCTCAACAACATCTATTGCACAGAGAAATAAAGAACGTGATTAAAAATGAATCCTGACAAAGTAGATTATTTGGCAGACTCAAATAAAAAAGACATTCAACTAATCATGACTTATTCATTGACGTCGATCATTTATTGACAATAATATTTGATATCTTATTTTCACTAAAAACACGTTCGATGATTAATCCAGATTTTGATCAATTCTTCTTCATTTAAATCAAGGTCTTTTTTTATGGAATCAAAAAAAAAGTAATCAATCCGAATTTAAATTACAGTCTATGTTTACAAAAAGAATGAAGTTCTCATGAAAATATCAGATTAAATTATCCATTTGGTTTATGAATCAAATCTGAAATTAATTTTTTAACTTGTCCACGACTAAACCTTCTCTAGAACACTATTTTTTTCTCTTTTTGTTATGTTAAAAGAAATGAATGAGAGAGATATAACTAGAGAGAAAATCTACAATGAATGTCATTTTGTTTTCATCGAAGACCAAGAAAAAAAACATTATTTCAACAGTTAACTAATATATCTAAAAAACCTTTCGTTGAATGATGCAGAATATCTATGTACTCATCATTGTTCTTCTGTTCATTCCTAGCAATGGAACATTAGGTAGATTATTTTATTTATTGCATGCTAAAGATCAGCCATTGCACAAACGACATTATTCGTTAGACTGGCCGAGTCTTACTAAACATGGTATTTGATTTCATGTCTAAAACTATTTCCAAAGTCAATACTATCGAACAAAATGCAGCATCTATCGTAATCTCGATGGCTTTATAAGTTTACGATTTTCACGAGTATAGAGTAGCGTTATAGATGTCTTGAGGCTGTAAGTGAATGAAAGAAGAATTTTGAGGACACAGGAAGTGAGTGAGATTTATCTCAATGAATTTTCTAAAAGATATGGCTTAATAATTCCATTTCCATTACATATCTTCTCTAATATTCTTTCGATTATTTTCCTATTTTTTAGCTCTTTCATTCAATCAACCAAAGTTTTGTCCAACAGCCACTTGGAATCCCAATGGAATTACTTTTGCTAATGTATCGACTGCTGGTTTTACACATCGCACCATTTTTGTGAACACAAACAACACAGTCTATTTCGCTAATCATGAGACAAAAACAATTTTAATATGGCAAGAAGAGAGTATTCATTCAACAAAGACCATTTTTAGTAATATTACAGACGCCTCTTCTCTCTTCGTGGTATCGAATGGTGATATTTATATTGATGATGGATATGAGAATAGTCGAGTGCAGAAATGGATAATAGAAATAAATACCTTAATTACGGTGATGAATGTAGGTGGACCATGTTTTGGTTTGTTTGTCGACATTTATGAAACTCTTTACTGTTCAATGTATTATGATGATCAAGTAGTAAAAAGATCAGTAAATGATTCTCTGATAACTGCGAACCTTGTTGCTGCTGGAACAGGCAATTCAGGATCAGCCTCAAATGAACTTGCTGGTCCTGGTGGAATTTCTGTTGATATAAACTTGGATTTATATGTAACAGATTGTCTAAATGATCGAGTTCAATTGTTCCAGCCAGGAGAATTTAATGGCACCACAGTGGCTGGAAGTAAATCACTAAATCGAACAATTACACTTAAGTGTCCCACTGGAATTATATTAGATGCTGAGAAATATTTATTCATTGTGGATTATGGCAATGATCGCGTTGTTGGTTCAAGCATGAATGGTTTTCGATGTTTAGTTGGATGTTATGGAGTAGGCTCACAATCCAATCAATTAAATCGTCCATTTAGTTTCAGTTTTGATCGTTCTGGAAACATATTTGTTACTGATACAATAAACGATCGAATTCAAAAATTTGAATATTTTGAAGAATCGTGTGGTAAGTTTAGAATGATTGAATACAGTCTCTTACATCGTTTTAATCAATACTTATTCAGAGAAAATTACTGTACTGTTGTTATAAAACTAAACGGTTGTTTATTGATAACTCTCTTCATACGTTTACTTTTAATACTCATCAGAAGAAAAAATTTCTTGCATTCAATTCAATCCTTCAGAATACAATAAAAGTTTCACAAATTGCTTTGAAATTTATAAAAAATATTCGTGCAAATGAGTGAGATTTGAATCGAAGTCAGTAAGGTAGAAAAGGTTCCGTCTTTACCTACATGTTCAAGACACATTTTATTAAAAAAAAAATATAACTACAGAATTAATTGTCTGCTAGAATATTTTAATCTGTTAAGATTGAATCTGTTCTTTATTCTAAATACAAATACTCATTGACTTTTTTCATTCAATAGATAATTCATTAGTTGTAGAAACTATGTATTCATCATCACTGACATCAAATAGTTCAATTTATTTTCAAGATTGTTCAGAATTAGATTCCTATTATGAAGCGATACAAATGAATGTCAGTATAACGGGCTATTATACTTTTCTAATCAACAGCGAGATGAAAACCATGTACGCTTATATCTACACAAATAACTTCAATCCATTCAATGTGTCCGATAATGTGCTGAGCGGTAGTGGAGACTCTGGTAATCAAGGTCAATTTAAAGTCACAGCTGTTCTTCAAGCCAACATGATATATGTTATCGTTATGACAACATCTCCTCGGAATTTAACAGAAAACTTTGCAATTCAGGGATCTGGTCGAAGCTATGTCACTTTCAATCGTATTCGTGAGTATCTATAATGTTTTAATAGATAATCAACTGCACATATTCATCATCAGTAGAAAATATAGATTAACTCAATCTACAAAATGATATACAAATATTTCTGTTCGATCGAGACTAAGATTCATATCACTTTCAGTCGCTTTCAGTAAATATGTATCTATGAGAGAAAATAATATTTCAAATTGCTTGTACTTATTTCCATATTATACAAAATTGAATCGATTTTCTTTTTTGTTAGTGAATACTTCATCAGTTGTTCAAACAGTTTATGTATCAAAATTGACCACAAACAGTTCAACATATTTACGTAGTTGTTCGGAGTCCAGTTCTTACTATGAAGCGATACAAGTGACTGTTCTTAGAAGTGGTCTTTACACTTTCGTTAGCAAAAGTGATATGGACACATACGGTTCGATCTACAATGAACATTTCAATCCATCCAATCCATTTGAAAATCGACTCTCAGACAATGATGATAGCTGCATACAAGATCAATTTCAATTCACAATTGCTCTTGAGAGTATTATTAAATATATATTGGTTGTGTCAACGTTTGATTCTAATAAGACAGGCGCATTCTGGATCTTTGTGTCTGGTCCTAACAATGTCGACCTCAAGAATATTAGTAAGTGTTTGGCATATTTATAAATAAAGGCTTATTTTGTAAGACGAAGTTTCTAGTTTTCTTGAATACGAATTTGCTTCAATCGATCGCTAGTCTGATGTGTCTGATATTATCGAGGTTGTATGACAGAAAAATGTGATAGATTCTATTTTTACTCTTCATTTACAATTTAATTATTCCATTATGAGAGATGATTTATGATTGTTATTTTTATTTTCATCATGTAGGTTCTTCATCAGTCATTCAGATACCATATTTATCATCTGTACAATCGAAATATTTACTACAACTGACTACCGAAAGTCAAACGTATTCTCGAGATTGTCGAAAATCAAATTATTACTATCAGACTATACGAATGCATGTAGTGGAAACTGGATACTATGCTTTGAGTAGTTCTAGTAATATAAATACATTTGGTGATATTTACGAAGACGGTTTTAATCCAATGAATCCTTTCGAGAATCTGCTCTCACAAAATTATCGAAGCTGTAGTTATAAAGATTTCAAAATGATCGCTTATCTTCACGCCGGCACTAATTACATATTGGTAGTAACAACATCTTCTCCAAATATGATAGGAAACTTTTCCATTCTAACATCTGGACCAAATAACATCATTCTTAGTCCTCACAGTAAGCATTTTGTATTATTTTGTAAATCATCAACAGATAATTACAACATCCAGCTAGACTCTATTTTCACACTTGAATAATAAAAGATCTGAGAATTTCAAATAGATCGTACACTTCAATAGGGTTATGGTCCAAAAATAGAATCAAATCGAACAGTTTTCTTCAAATCAGATAAAAACAGAAATGTAAAAATGTAATCTCAACACGACATATCATGTATAGATGAATGACTTTGATAGGCTATTATTACTTACAAATTTATGCCGACGTGGTTTTATTGAATTGAGAAAGATTGATTTCATCCATTTCTCTATTTAGTTCAAATTCTGACTAGTTGTTTCATCGGTCAAACATGTCAGTTCTACAAAAAAAGTATTGGTGTCACTCTTGATGATATTTTACGTGATGAAATTCGACCGAATATGACAATGACTGATCAAATAATAATGCTGAAAACCAATATCGCTTTAACGATGATTATGTTTGTTGGAGGTTTAGTCAATAGTATTTTGTCCCTACTAACATTTCAAAATATAGATCTTCGACAAGTTGGATGTGGTATCTATCTCTTAGCATCATCAATTACTTCTTTTCTTACAATTAGCATGTTTGTAGTGAAGTTTTGGTTTGTTGTTCTCACTCAAATGAACCTATCGATTCATCTTTCTATTCTTCGAGGAGGTTGTGTATCGATCGAACCACTTCTCAAGCTTTGTCTATATGTAGATGCTTGGCTCAATGCTTGTGTAGCTATTGAAAGAGCGATTCTGGTTTTCAAAGGAATTAAATTCAATAAACAGAAAAGTCAATACATTGCCCGATGGACAGTCCTCGTCTTACCATTTTGTGTCATGATTTCGATCATTCACGAACCTATATATCGAGAATTACATGAGATAAAGACAGAAACGAACAAAGTAGATATCAACAAATGGTGTGTAACTCGTTATTCACATTCTGTTCAACAATACAATACAATCATCTTATTTTTTCATCTTGTCGCTCCATGTATGGTCAATCTTTGTTCTGCTTTATTTATTATATTCAGATCAGCTCGACAACGATCAACGGCTCAGAGGAGACAAACTCTGAGAGAACATATTTATAATCAATTTAATGAGCACAAACAACTATTAATCAGTCCAATTATTCTTCTAATTCTGTCCTTACCTCGTCTGATAATGTCGATGTTATCTGAATGTGTCAATCCATCTAATCATCGATTATTATTTATTTTTGGTTATTACATTTCATTCACTCCATCGATGCTTATCTTTATTGTTTTTGTCCTTCCTTCAGCATTGTATAGAAAAACATTTCAAGAATCATTCAGACAATGGCGACGACAAATTCATCAATAACCAATATTTATTCATTACTTTCGAACTTTTTTAATTTATTGGAATAGTTAATTTCTTATTTAATAAAATTTTATTCAAAATGGTGTGGAAGAATAATCAATAAAAGAACATCCACATTTACGGTGTATTTTATTAACTTTTTTTCTTTTTAAAGATTTTTCGACAGATTTAAATGAAAGAAAAATTTTATAAGCATAATCAATGTTGAATCAGTTGCAGTGTGTTCAATGTTTTGATTTAAAACGATATGAGGGATTTTTCTTGAAATCGATACAACCATCGCATGCACAAAATTGATCACCTGTTCCACAGTAACCACCATTGGAACAACAGTGTGCAGTTTTATCATCTGGATTACAAATTGGGAAAATATTGCCACTGATTGGAAGAATATCGGAGCCACATCGACCTCGTTTTCCATCTGGTGCATCAAGCAAATACCAGAGTGGAGGATCAATAGTTGGTCGAACAGGTTCTTCAATCAAGAGATGAGGATTCTCTTCGTAATTAATTCCTAATCCAGTACAATGTTTGTTTGATTTGCCACAATAGCCATCAGGTGAGCAACATGAGTAGCCAGGATCGTCAGGATCACAAACAGCATAATAACCCTTGTACAAGGGCGCTGATCGACCGCACATCCCTGCTCTTTCTTCACTGTCCTCCATTGTCCACCAACGTTTTTCTGAAAGAGGTGAACATTTATAGAATGTCGTTGATGGATCTGTATGTTTACACAAAGGTGCATCGCCAACTATCTTCATCATCGTTAAATCGACATCATCTTGATCAATTGCCCAAATCATAAGGCCGCCTAAATTATTATCAGCCGCATAATCTACTTTATATTTTAATGATGTTGGGCTTTCGTAACCTAAATATATTTGCTCTTGATTGTTGAAAGCAAAAGTTGATTTTGTTTTCTCATGAAATTGTTCTTTATAATTTGCATTTGTCAACCATGAATCTTTTATTTCATTCCAAGACGCAAAACCACCAACAAATTTTCCATTCACTGCAGATGCTTTTCTCCACATAGAATCACTTGGATCGATTGATTCGTGATCAACATTTTTCCAAAAACGACCATAGAATGGAACACCCATATTAATCTTGTGTGGTTGATTCGTTTTACACACATAATATTTAACTGTCCAATGCACATTTGTTTTGCCTGAAAATCGTGGAGGCATACCAAAATAGAGAGGTGCAGGTGGTCCTGTATATGCACCCCATTTCGATTCCCAAGCACCAAAAAAATCGTAAGTCATTATATTAACGAAATCTGCATATTTCAATAGTGCTGGCAAATCATAACCAGGATCGAGTGTCCATTGACCAGCAGCCGAGGCAAATGTAAGTAAATAACCAGGTCGATGATTATCTAGTGCTTGCCGTAATTCTTTCATAAGTGTAACATAATTTTGTTTATCATCTGGCATTCCTTCAATAGCACCACCTGTTACCGGATGTTCCCAATCAATATCAATGCCATTCATATGATACTCGTCAAGTAGTTTTAATGTTGAAGCTATGAAATGAACACGTTTTTCAGGAGATGCAGCAATAGAACTAAAATATTGTGAATTTTCCCACCCACCAACAGCAAACATATATTTAATATTTGGAAATACATTTTGTAGACGTACAAGACGTTCCAAACGTTGTCGAGCAATTTTAATATCTTCCTCAACATTTGTACTATGTATTCGATCAGCACTACCCAAAAAGATATTACCATTAGAATCAACTTCGAAAAAGGCAAAGATAATGTGCGTTAAACGTTGTGCATGTTGAGAACTAATCTTGCCTGTACCCCATGATGGATAGTAGCCGATGATACGTTTGCCACACTTTGCTGCTTGGCTGATATTATCACCTCCTTCATCAGGCGTTTCATCATCATTGCTGTCTGTCTCAGCATCAATTTCATCGTTGCCTTCGATAATATCATAATTAGCTTCGTCAAAAACACTTAGTGAACTTAAACCAAACAGAGCAGCTGTGATCTTAGCTTCCGCTCGTGTACAACCTCGTACTTCTCTTCTTTCATCATCATCATCATCATTATTAGTTTGACGCTTCGATTTTTTGCTATTCTTTTTTTGATCACGCTTAGCTTGGCCCATTAGTAAATCTTTGTGCCAAATATTAGCTTCTGTTTTATCCAAGGACATTGCCGATGCACATTCAATAGAATTGACTGAAAACATACCTGACCGTCCTTTTACTGCACTGAGAAATCCCGCAATGAAGGGATTTTTTAAAGCAAAATAATTTGGATTGGACTTTAAATGTGTTAATACCTCGGCTTGTGACACTGGTTTCAAAATTTTAATCAATTCTGCTCGATCCGCTTTTGTTATTTTTGAATTATCTGATATGAAGCCTACAACATGAGTTTGACCTTGTCGTTTATAACAGATCATTTTCCAAAAGCACGAAGGTATATCTACACCAGTTATACCTTTTGTTTTTCCTCGACTACTTGGACAAACACCAGTGACTACAAGACTTGGTGGAGATTTATGATTATGACATCGTATATGTGCTTCAATCATTCGCCATGAAATTTTATTTGTTACAGGATTTTGTGGAGCTAGATTAATGCGTAAATTTGAACTGAATGATGCATCTCGAGAATAACTAAGAATTTCACTCGGTGTCAGATGACCATGATCGTATCCAGAAAGCTTGTATGCATTTTGATCTGCTTGAAAACCTTTTAACTCTTTGCATGGATGATGCGTATAACCCCTTGTACGTTTACCATCTGGTGTTATTAGATCATTCTTTTTGTCCAGCATACACATAGACCATATAGGTAATTTACGATGCTTATCGAATAAAATAACATATGCATTGATGTTATTTGTTTCAATTGTAATCAATGGGTAATTTCCATTTGGACATGATTCTGGTTCACATTTTGGTGCTGGTTTCCAAAAAGCACGTTTCTTATTTACTGTATCTTTTTGACATATAGCACTGGCATCATTCAATGGTTGATGAAGAAATTCACATTCATATTTGCATTTTGAACCAATAGATTTAGCATGACAATCATTGACGGATCTTGTCTTGATCTTGTCTTTTTTCGTGTTAACCGATGGTTTACTACATTTTGCTCGATTTCGATCATCATCATCATCGTCATCATCACAATCCCGATCATGTTTACTTCCAGCCAATTGACGTTTTAATTGTCGTCTTTTGCAATGCTCTCTTTTTCCGTCTTTCTTTTTCCTATCATTCTTTTGGCGTGTTGATTTTGTTAATTGATTCTTGGCACCTGTGCGCGCTTTATCAAGAGAATTTTTCATTCCTTTTCCTATTTTCGAAGCTGCTTTACCAACACCTGGTAATGGAACAACAGCCAATGCATCCATGCCGACATCAGCGAGACTTGTAAAGGCACCTTTCACATCACCTTTGCCTATTGCTTTACCAACTTTAACAATATTCTCACCAAAACTTTTGACATCTTTAACAATTCCTATACTCATAAATTCATCTTTTGCTGCTTTTGTATTGCCTTTCACTAGATGATCGATAGTTTTAATTGCTTTAATTGGTGTCAGGACGATTTCTTTAACTGCATGAAAAACAGGTTTAACAATTTTATCACCAATCCACTTAAAAGCTTTTTTAAGAGCACCAAGAAATCGTCGTTGTCGTATCAAAGTAATAGAGTTTCTTTCTGTTTCATTTCGTTTTATTAAAGTTGTTTGATATCCATTTAGTGTTGAATATGTTTGTTCATTTGATGATAAAGATGCAGGATAAAAACATGCACGTGTATCCGTAGTTGGATAAAACAATGGCATCTCATCAATAACATCCAAAGTAATTTTTGAATTAAAATAACGTATATAGATTTCACTAGATTCATTTTCGACAATAGTTGTTTTGTTTTGAAAGTAAGTACAAGTTAGAATTTGATTGACATATTTAATTGAAACATACTGACAGGTTAAATTCAATGGTGAATTAAAAAGGCATGTATTTAAACAATTGTCTAAACATGTATCATAAATAATAGTGGATGGACATGAAACAATATCTTGTTTGATATAAGAATTTTGATCAACAAAACTATAATTAAGTATGCGATCAAATGACATTCGTATTGACGTAAAATTATTATTAATAAGCAATGGACGAATAAAACAATGACGATTTTTCAATGTTGAATTTTTGTTTATATGCCCTGGTCGATCTCCTGCCATCTTACATTCATATGTATTAAAATCATACGAAAATTTTTGACATTGAATATTCTGATGACATGAATTATGGCATTTGTCAAATGAAACGGATGTTGATGAGAATGGTAAAAGTAATGTCGATGAATAGAAATCACACTGAGGTATAAACTGAAATTTTTGTTGAGGATCTTGTAACCAATAACGACGTTTATTTCCTTGATATTGTTCTATTGGTGTCCAATTACCGTAACTAGTTATGTATTGACAATCCAATGTCAACTCATCAAATTCAATTGCAATACACAGTGGATCTCGTTGCATCAAGCATTTTGTCATGCAAATATCTTCTTTTCTTTCCTTGAGTTCTTTTTCATGTTGTATATTAGTAATCATTGGACATATAGGTAAATTGCTATTATTTGTGAATGTTGAACTTGACTTCGTTTTTAAACATTCTTGACATCCAGTCAATCGATTACAACCATTTACGTCTAAGAAAAGAATGATTTCAAAACATTTAAATATTTTCTGCATAGTCACCTGATATAAAACAATTCGGATTATAAAAACTGTAGATATTCGATGATACATTACTCGATGTTTCACATAATGATCTCTTTTTAGTTTTTAGTAGATGTTGCTCATAAATTATCTCACCTTCGTTATCATTCGAAAAAGTTTCTTCTTCACTAAATCGCCATCGATTGGTAATATTACCATAAATAAGTTGAAAATTGATTGCTGATATATATCCATAGGATAAATACATGTTGTTATTATCATTTTCATTGACATCAAATAATTGACACCATTTTGAATGAAAATTATATGTCATTGATAAACAATTCATTGTTACCTGACAAAATTGTAAACATTCTAAGAAAGTATCAGTTTCTTGTTTTTTTCCATTACCTGACATTCTTGTATTTCTTATGTAAATCCAATTTTGAATAAGACCTGTTGGTTGTTTAATGATAATAGTTGTCCATTTTTCTTCTTGATTTGCTAGTTGTAAACGATCATTATCTATACGCATATGGCTAAATGTTAAACATGTTTTATTTGTTTCTGAATATGAATATCCAATACATTGTTTATCATCGACACAGTTTATAAAGCATTGATCAAATTCCAAATTGTGCATTGTAGATTGTGGAATGTTATCATTTTGATTAATAATTATACCGAGCATCTTATCAAACGGTGGTAAATAAGGACATGCGTCACATAAATAAATTCCATCAGTTGAATTTTCAAAGACAAGAATAGCTTCTTTATTCGGATCTAAATCAGTACACATTAATGGTACTGAATTCAATTGAAAATTATTTGCTTCCAAAAGAAGATATTTTGTATAAGCAATGTAAGCATCTAATGGTGATAATGATTGGTTTGTTTCATTGATCGGCAATTCAATTTCATCAATATCTTCTAAATAGAAAATGATTAGAATTTGAAATTAGAAAATGCATTAGTTACGTACGAAATTCATAGATAATGAATTTTTCATTTTGAATCAATGTTCGATTGCTACATTTCATTGATGCATAACAAGAACTGATAATACCATTAGCTGATGTGTTAAAACGATCATCATCATCATCAATTTCTTGTGTTTCATTGCTTAAATAATTCCACATACCATTAGCTGATGTGTTAAAACGATCATCATCATCATCAATTTCTTGTGTTTCATTGCTTAAATAATTCCACATACAAAATTGTTTTTCTCGGGTATAACACCAGTGTAAACAATTTGTTAGTGTTAAAGGAATAGACGATTTGTATCGAACATTACTTACACATAAATAACCTTCTTTTGCATCTATAAACATAGTCCATTGTTGATTTTTGATCAGTTCTATTCAATCGACAATAATCTGAGTTTTATCTATATCATAATTTGAAGGGATGGGTGTGAATGTAAGTGTGGTTGGAGAGAAGGTTAATTCACACCTACATCCTCACCCTCCCCTTTCTAACTATATAACACATACCTGTTTTACTGAATTGCCATAGATTTTGTTCATTTGAATTATTCGATTCCGATGCTAAGCTAACACCTACTTTATTAGTCGTTATATGGTCATTCGAACTATCAATGGTCAATGTTTGATTTGTTTGAACATGTACTATTTCACATGAGTTGTTATTTCTTTTTATAATTCGAAATTGTTGATTTTCGTCTGATGTATCAAATGACCACTGATACAATACTAAAGAACCATTGGATTGTCTTTTCACAGTCAATGCTTTTTGAGTTTCCATGCATACAATTACATACAAAATCATTCTCTCTACATCAACAGGTAAAAATTGCCATTCTTGATTTTTTGTTTCACTTTTTGGCCACAAATCGACATGTGAATCATTGATTGATGTTGAAAATTTCTTGCAATTTAAATAACCAGACTGGGAAAATATTTTATATGAATGTCCTGCTTGAGGCCTGCAAATATTTTCTTCATTGGAAGCGCCTGTAGGTAAATCAATTTTTTTCGATGAACAATATTCGCTTGTATTACCACAACTAGAAATATATTTAATTGTTGAGATGAGAGCGAAAGATTTTGATTCATTCTGATATATTATATGTTAACATATACTTACTATCCATACTGAGAACAACACATAGTTTGATCATGACAACCGCAGATTCGACAATCCCCAACTAAATAGAGGAATACAAACTCAATAGCTATTCGATATTTTTCATGTATTGCATTCTATACTTCGAGTTTTTTCAATAAGAACAGCATCAGACGTCGACGTTGATGATTTTTCACAATGTTCTTTCGTTGTACCACAACTAAACATGAAATGAAAAAATTCTTTTAAAAAAAGATTTACACTTACTAGCCATACGACGAACA